GTTAAATTAGAGTAGAGACTAGTTTAGATAATAGTATATAATTTTTACAAAGCCTGACACAGGCTTATAATTGTGACCATCCAATGTAGATAAAATATCTCACATTTTTCATTTTTTTCATTTTCCCTTTACCCCTTTATTTTCTTGTTTATATCTTTTATCGTATCCCCCTATACCTCTGTGTTTTTTTTTTATATAATTTTTTTCTTTTTCTTTTCACTTCTCTACAAGAAGATGTCATCAGATTGGTGGTATCCTATTGTAGAGCGGTGGGTCAGACAAGCCTTCTAGTTAGGGTATAACCTTTTGGTTTTATCTCGCCGGTGCAGCAGGTCGCCGATAGATACTCTTTGAAGCAGCTGTAGGATATCAAGATCATAGCTTTAATATTATAGTTATATATTTGTAATCTTTTACGAGATTGAGACTCTATTAAACATTGATCACTAGTGTAATCTTGCCTAAGTAAAAAAAAAAAAAAAAAGTATAATACATATTGATCTGGGTGGTCTTCAACTGAAACAGTATGAGGTTATATGCTGATGTAATTGTAGTAATAGTACAGAATAGAAGACATTAAAGAGTTTAAATAGATAATCTCCTAGTTAAATTACAGGTATAGCATCTAGTATAAAACCTTCAGGCAGACTACTTAAATAGCAACTAAAAGCTGCATGTATATCTAAATATACTCTTATTAACCAAGAATATATTACTAAATACATAATAAAAATTTGTCTTTATATGACATTGTGAAGGTTTAAAAAAAAAAACAATTTGCAAATTTGTAAAAAATCTAGTTTATTTTATCCTATATAAATAACCAATCAAAATTAAGCATATGACTATATAATATATTGCTTATTATCACCTAATAAAATTTTTATAAATTTTATAACTTTTATAATAAAAAAATACAAAAGAAAATTTTTGATCCCTAAATATGATTTACTATATGTAGGGTTATCATGTAGATAGTCTTTATTGTCTTTTTGCCTATTTTATATATTAGCCTATTTGCAATTATTTTGACAATAATAACTTTTTTACCCACTTTTGTATTATTTTGGTTTTGTATTTGCTGGCCTTGATTACCCTATTGAAAGCTTTTTTTCTAGTTTAAAAAATTCTTTTTTTTTTTTTTTTTGTATAGGAAGCATCTATAATTTACATTAATTATAAGGATTTTAAAGATAATATAAAAATATTTTTATATAATACAGTACTGGTTTAGCGTAATTGTGGATACCCCTATACGGCTTCTCTTGTAACTCCAGCATTTTTGCTTTTTAGTTTGATCTTACATATTACTCTATATATATAGAAATATAGTATTTAGCTTCATTATAATATCACAGTGTTGGCCGATGACATAGGTCATACCATTTTTTTGTTATGACCTTGTCATATAATCATATGACTTTTTGGTTAAAGCCATATCGGTCATATCAAATATTAGTAAAAAATTTTTTTACTATGAATCTTATTATATTAAAAGGTTATAAAGTCATATCAACCTTCGTTATGACCAAATGACCTATGAAAGGTCATAAAGGTCATATAGGTCATCGGCCAACACTGAGTATCACAGAATCTGAATTTATTAAAATTATACTCTTAAAAAAAAAAGATAGTAAAAATATGCTTAAATACATTCGTAATGGGAACACTAATATCAACCATTTTCAAACAGCACATGCTATATATTTTAAAACCATTTTTTATCAATATGAAAGTTGAACATATTTTTATTATTATAATAATTCACAAATATTTAGATACAACTTCTAATTCGTTATAAGCATCAAAACGAACAGTAAAGCACATTAGTTGAATTCATCTTTTCATAAAAATGCTAAATTCTAATAGCCTGAATTCAACTAAACTAAAAAAAATTATTATACAATTTTAGTTATAATAGCTACCATAATAATATCAAACCTACTCATTAAATGAGAACATTCTATAAATAATTGTTAATACAAGTTCAATTATAGTCTATGACACATTCATTATTTATACAACAGTACTCAACAAGGATAAATACACATTAACAAGCACAACCGCTACTTTCATTAGAATTTTGAGTGCCAGAATTGATATTTACATCAATAACTGAGCATTTAAATAAATAGGATTAATAGGATTAATACTTCTGTATAACCATTTTAATAAGCTAATTGAAAATATATGCTTACGTTGACTTTGAGGCTCAGACATCGTATTCTCCATTCCTGGTAAAGCTTGGGCAATTTTACGGAAGAGGGTTTTTACGTTGTGCCCTGCCTTTGCACTAGTCTCAATGAACATGACATTAAATTCTTTTGCCTTTTTTTCCCCTTCTTCTGTTGTGACTTGTCTGAAATTTTACAAAACTTTAGTCGAATGAAGATACATATACACTTATACAAAACAATAATCTCACCTTTTGTCATTTAAATCAGTTTTGTTTCCAACCAACACAATAATAACATCATGACCTCTTTCGGCACGTACATCGTCAATCCACTTAGCTGTATTCATAAATGAATTCCTATCTATTTAAGAAAGACATCATTAAGCTTCAATAATAAAGGAATAATTTATAGATGATGACGAAATAAAGCATAGAACACACTTGTAATATCATATACGACAACAGCTACCGAAGAATCTCTAATATAGCTCGGAATTAAACTTCGAAACCTTTCCTATAAGAATGACGTTAATTGTTAAGATAAATATCTACAGATAAGGAATATTAAATGATTCTCTTACTTGGCCTGCTGTATCCCACAACTGTAATCGAACCGTTCGGTCTTCCAAATACATAGTTTTCGATAGAAAATCGATTCCAATTGTAGCCTATATATAAAAAATACTGTTTGATTAAAATTATATTAAATAAAAATCTAATAAAAAATTACATACCTGATAAGTATTGTCAAAGGTATCGTACATAAAACGTGTGATCAACGACGTCTTTCCGACTATTAAAATAAAATTTGTAAATCTTGAATGATCGTTTAAAAGAATAACCTACCTAAGAACCAAATGTATGTCGTTTTTGGTCATACACGATTTAAAGTAAATTTGAATTCAAACATTTGGTTTTTGAAGGTTAAAAGTTGCAATATTTAAGTTCGGGCAACATTGCAACTTTACGTTATTTTGACATCCCTCATATGTATGTGTTCAACATACCACTTTGTTCACCCAAAAATACCAGCTTGAACTTTCGCAAGGGATTACTGAATTCAGAAGGACTAACAGCTGCCATGATTACGGATTAAAGTTTAGCTCGGTTGAACGCCGAAGAATTGAATTGATGAATTACATTGTCAGGTTGATATAAGAATTTAGCATTTGATCATCAGATAAACTTGCCAATCACTGCTATCCCGAAACTTGTTTGCGTTACAATATCTATTTTAGAGATTCACATGCTTGCAACTTAATGGTAGAGATAATTCTATCGGTAATTTTTTTATATACTTTGCCTCTACGTTGAGCTGATGCATTTTGAAAATTGAAACAGACTTGTGTGCAAATTAGGGTGTGCGATTCCCTGAGTTAGTAAAGCAGTATGCATGTATCGGGTATATTTACTAGAAGAACTTTATTAGCTTCGCCCCGGTAGCATTTCGATTACTTAGCACAAACTTTCCAAATTTGAAATTTGTAACTCGTTAATCTCATAGAAAGATATTTTTATGATTGGCAGATACCCGTGATTTCCAATCAAAATATACTATATTTTTTATATAGAACAATTCTATTTTTAATTATTACTACCTTTATTAAAAACGTTACTATTCTCGAAATATACAGTATACTGTATATACAGTATATTTTTTATTGTTTAAGATAATCTTAAGTTGGCAGTATATACTAAACTTATTACAAGTTACTACTTATTTTTGGCACATAATTAAGTATATACTAGTTACATATATAATTTTAATTGTCTATTTAAGTAGTTTGTTCAAAGATTCTTTACTAAATATTATATTTATAATCTAATTAAAAAATTATTTTTTTAGAGCTTGGGTTTTATAGTTTAGTAGTTAAACTGCCAAATTTATACAAACTAGGTTGATAGTTCAAGTTGGGCTGAAGGCAAAACCTTAGAATTTTAGTCTTTATAACTCATAAGAAGGTTAATATTAAATGTAAAACCCTATAGTAAGTTCAAGTAAAGTACAAAACTAGAATAAAAAATTTTCAAAAAGATACTTAATTATGAAAAGTAAATACTATATGGGTGCCGCCAAGAGAAAACCAGGAATTCTAAAAATAGACTTCCATCCACAGCGAAGTTGCGGGGTTTT